CAAAATGTAAAGTTGGAAAATTTCACATAACCACCTGGATTTCCAGGACCCCCCCCCCCCCGCCATCTAAGCAGTATATTCTTAGATAGCAGTAACTGGCCGGAGCTGAGGATGGGGTGCCCCTCCAGTGCTGTCAGAACCTCTGCCCACAGGCTTCCCTGACCCTGACATCACCACTGGCCCCACAGGATCATGAGGGATTGTTTCAAAGCCTGACATTTCTTGACATTGTACATTGGACTTCTCTGGGGGCTTTAAAGACCTGAGGACACAGGCCAAGTTCTCGAGCATATCTGGGGTGGGACCACAGCTCCCATCGTGATTCCTTGAACAGCAAGGTTGAGAGTGACCAGAGCACGGGCCCCATGTGTGGGTGGCTTCTTGAGATCCATGACTTCCTGTCTGTGGCTCTCAGCTAGAGCCCCACCTTGTGACAGGCTGGCCTCATCCTGGCTCATTCAGAAGAGAGAGATCCCCTGTTCCCTCTCCTGGGGACTTCCCAGGAGGCCTGGACACTTCCGATTGCTCATTGTGTGATGCCCAGGGTCTGAGGCCCAAATTCTGGACTTGGCAGGAGGGCCAAGTGTGGCCACGGCGGTGAGGCCCAGGGCTGCTGCCTCCAAGGAAGATTCACTCCTATATATGGTCACCCAGGAGTCCCACTGCTGAGCTAACGTGTGACCTAATGTGCTGACAATCTCGCCCAGTCTGGGGCCCGAGTTGGGGAGGGCCCTGACTCTGGAAAGAGTGTCCACTTGGGGGCAGAGGGGCTGGGAGCAGGCAAATCGATGGCGTGGAGGCAGGGCAAAGACAAGATGACCCAGACCCGGGACAGGAGAAAGGCAGCTCGAAATCCTTCCCACTCCGCTTGGCCTCATGAATCTGTGAAGACGTCCAGCTCCCCACTGATGCTCTGTGTGAACAAGGAAACCCATGAGGCTTTCTTGCTTTTAAAAGTTCTTTTAATATAACATGAGAAGGCTATATTGCTATAGGCAGGCTGTATACAGATTTTCCCGGAATAAGGCACACAACGGAATGCCATCCCGAGGGCGGCCCTTCGGAGAGGTCAGGAGCCTTCTCCATGCACCCTCCGAGCTGGGCCCACGGGTTCTGTTTGTCTTTTCAGCTGGACACACACGTATTAACAGATACAGACACGGACAGGGTCACCACACGGGAACGGAGGAGATCCGACGGTGAGGTTGGCGACAGACGGCGATGGGCCCTTCTGCCACCAGCCCTTGGGGGACGGCTCAGCCACCTCCCTGAAAGCTGGAACGCCTCCCAAACTTCAGGATTAGTTGTTGCACTGGGCTACAATGTAGTGATGTTGGATTAAATATTCACTTAGAGTAGATTCAACTCTATTAGATGTTGGAGGGCAGGTGTAAGGGCTCTGGTTGGCACATCCTAGTTCAAAGAGCATGGGGCCCAGAGGAGTGGCTCAGATGGCAAAGCTCCAAAGAGGGGCATGGAGAAGTCTGCCTCCCATTTGCTCTTCCCTCCTGCGCCCGGCTGACCCGAGCCCTCCACCAGGCCAAGGAGGCCATCTTTGGAGCTGGCCAACCATGGAGGGGCTGGTTAGTCATCCTAGGCTGGCTGTGTAATACTGCGAGGCCCCTTCTTCCCCTGGCCCACTCCCTGCCCCCCGACAAAGTTAATAACCATAATAACAAGATAATAATAAGAAGGTGCAAGAGAATCGAATACAATGCTGTGTTCGTTACCCTCAGCTGAAGAGGATCAAAGGGGTCACTATTCCCTTTTTGGCTAAGTATCTAATAACAGCTTCCCTTAAAAAAAAAAGCAATACTTTCCAAAATACACATATGTATAAATACAGGACATGAACATATTAATAAGTCTAAGCACTTGAATAATATGCTTGGCTACTTAATACTGATATTTTCATCCAAGGAAAACAACACAGAATAACAACAATATGGCTTAAAGAATTGCAAAGATTTTTTTTTCCTCCTCAGAATTATGTACCAACTTCATATAATATTCTATGTAGACAATATTTCCTTCTTAATGTAGTTCAGTTGCATACTTTTTACAGATCAAAGCATAGTAAAAAATCAAACCAAAAACAAAACGAAACAAAAAAAAAACCAACAACAGGAAAAAAGAGAAAAGTTCTCACCATAAATATTTTCTTGCAGCTCAACCAGAGGGTTTGCAAAAATACTTCCAGAAATCTTCATTTGATATTCTAGTGCCCTCCTGAAAGCTCCGAAGTTTTGAAAATGCCTTTGTTTTTTTTTTTAATCTCAAAAATCGAGCAATTATATTTTTCTTTGCTTTTTCTTTTTTTAAAAAAAGGCCCTCAAATATATACAAACAAAGATCACTGTGAAGATTTTTTTCGGGAGAAGGTAACAAATTCAGTGTCGTGAGAAAAATTGGTAACCAGAAGAAATTTTAACATCTATGATTTTTTTTTTCAAAATACACACATAGTATTTTTCTTAAAAAAAAAAAAGAATTCTGTGTCAAGTATAACTCAAAATAAATACAAATTCACAAGTAGAACTATCGAATACTTCATATGGGTTAAACACTGTTATCTCTCAACTAGATCACTAGATCTACTGACTGCAGGCGATTGTCCCTTTTGAACATACAAACCACACACTTTCTTGTTTCCTGGGCACTCGGGCCCTCTGAGCACTTAATCCTCACGGTACCCGGCCTGGACAGCATCGGCTCCTGCTGCCCACGGAGAGCTCCCACGTTCAGCCAGAGCCATGCAGGGGTGGGGAGTGCGGAGGGGCTGCCTCGGGCAGGAGGGCCCAGCCCCCACGTCGGCCAGCTCTGCACAGATGGGGGGGCCGGCAGCTACCAGCTGGACAGGCCTACTGACAAGGTCACTTTGGGGTGATATCCCATTTCCTACTGGCCCAGGGAAGGCTCTGAACTCTAGTAGTCTGGAGCCTGCGTTCTTTTTAGGGTGTGGGCTGCCCCCACCAGTGCAGCACGGTTGGCAGTCTCCAGGCCTCCTGGGGCCAAGGTCCCCCTCTGGGGCCAGGTCCCTGGAAGGGTTGGGTCCCGGTCCTCACAGCAGAGACCAGCACACCGTCCACTGCTGCAGACACTACCTTCCGTGGGGAACAGCTTCTCCCTGGGGACAGAGAGTCTTGGGCCGGGATGACTCCAGCTCACCCTGCCACCACGGAGGGATTCCTCAGTGGCACTCCCAGTGGGAAGCGAGGGTGTTCACAGTTGGTTGCTGGGCACTCTGCCCCTGTGGGCAGCAGGGAGGTGGCCACGGGGCTCAGGCTGGAGCAAATATCCTCTTGTTAAGTGCTCAGAGGGCACAGCCCCCTGACATCTCCCCTGCAGCACCCCCCTCCCCCAGGCTGCAAACGCACTCATCCATCTCTTCAACTTGCTCCCTGGACCCCTGGTTATCACTTCACTGTAACTCCTCAGTTGTACACAGCATTTTCATTTGAAAACAAAAGGCGACCGGGCCCCAGTTGGGTGACCTTGAGCCATGGTAAACACTGAATTTCAGGTCCATTTCATGGTCTGATTTTTTTTTTTTTTTTTTTTTTCCACAGAGGCATGATGTTGGGGTAAAATCAAGTGACCCAGTCCTGCCAGCCGGCTCTCTCCCTCTCCTTGGGAGAAAGGAGGGATGATGGGACAGTAAAAATAGGGCTTCTCACGGGGGAGAGAGGAGAGAGGCAAACGTGACCCCTCCCGCCAGCCGGGACAGCAGTCTCCCTGACCAATGTGACTTGCCCAGAGGCCTCCCTGCTCCCTTGGGAGGTAGGAAATCATTGTCCCCATTTTATAAACAAGAGGTTCTGTAGCTTACGTTGGGGTTGCTCTGTGTGAGGGGGGATCCTTTTCCCTCATTTTTGCAGGGGTGGGGTGGGGACATCAGGCAGGACAGGGGTTACAGGCGGTGACGGGGGAAGGACCGGCATCCCTCAACTCTAACCTAAGTGACTGACAGGTGACCATGTACAGTGTGGTACTTGGTGGGCCTCTCCAGATAAAGCTCCATGGGAACCCCACAACACCAGAGCTGAAATGGGCCTCTATGCCCCGGAGCCCCTCTCTCACTTAACCAGTGGGCACCCTGAGGGCCGGAGATGAGAAGTCCTTTCCCGAGGCCTCGTAGTGTGTGAGCAGCAGGGCCGGCGCGAGAACCTAGGTCTCCAGACCACCAGGCCTGTGTCCGTCCTGCCAGAGGGCCTTCCCTGCCGGGCCCTACGGCCTCGATCAGGGGGTAGACCCCAGCATGGGTGGGGGTGAAGGAGAAGGGTAGGGAAGGGGCTTGACAAAATCCAATCCCAAGTGGGAGAAGTGTGTGGTGGGGGGCAGGGGAAGGTGTTATCTGATGTGCCCCAGGTCACACCGTGGAACCCTGTCCAACATTCAGCTCCTCCCTAGGTTGTGCAATGTTAATGATGTCACAGGCAGTGGGGTTTGGGGCTCATGGTGGGCAGGCGGCAGAGATGCCCACTCCCCAGCAGCTGCTAGAACAGGTATCAGCTCGCCAGGATTGCTGACTCAAACAGGACAGAAACATAGGGCTCTCTGAGAGTGGCTTTGCACACAGGGCAAATTGGAAGGTTCTGGGTAGAGAAGGAGGCCTGGCTAGTCTTGGGGAGACAGTCCCCTGCAGGCTTTGGGATTCACAGTACATTTAGTGCACTTGTGGCCAATACAAGGCTGCTCACCCCAAAGGGAGTCTCAGAGGAAGACCGCCGGCAAGGGGACACCAAGGGCTTTATATGGGGTCCTGGGTGCTGACCTCTGCTCACCCCGTCCCCTGCACACAGACCCCAGGCCCACCTGGGGGGCAGACCCGGCATTCTGTGGGGGCGGCCGCATCCGTAACACTGTCAGCACACATGAGACGAGAGCGTAAGACACCCCTGCCCGGCGCGTAAGGCCGTGAGGCTGCCCCCACGCGCACAAGGACACGCGGCAAGGCGGGTGGACAGGGAGGGGCGTCTCCTGCGGCGGCGGGGGCCGGCTCACTGCACCCGGCGACAATAGTAGCCCAGGACCTTGCACTTCTCACAGAGGTGCTGGGGGTGCTCCTTGCTCTGGTCGGACACGTCCAGGCCGTCGGGCTTCTCCAGGGGTCTCTGCAGAGAGGAAAGGGGGAGTGGAGAGAAAGACAGAAACACAGAGAGAAGCAGGGAGAGTGAGACAGATGCAGAGAGAGGCACAGAGAGAGTACGAGACAGACAGACAGACAGACAGGGGTCGGGGTGCCCGGAGAGAAAGCCTGGAGTCACCGAGGTTGTTCCCCTAGGGGTCAGGGCCCTTCCTGCCTCTTGCCTGTGGCCGGTGCACGGCCCGGGGCTGGGGCTCCTGGACTCGCACGGTCTGGATGCCACCTTGCCCTCCCCCAGGACTGTCGGAGCGGTCACCCCCGAAGTTCACAAAAGCCCGGAACCCAGGCAAGACGGTGGCGCATGGACATTACCCAGAAGAGGGAAGTGAGGCCCAGAGCAAGGAGGACCCAAGCCCACATCTCCTGACCTCCAGCACACCCAGGGCTTCTTCCCAGGCTACCTGTCACTGCTGTGCTTCGGGCTTGGGGTAAATGAGCCCTCGGCTCTGTGAGGTTAGCAGCCAGTGCCCCTCGCCTCAGGGCCTGGCACAGTCCTTGCCCTGTCCGTTGAGTGGCCAAAGGAGCAGAACTCCACTCTGTCCTCACAGGGAAACGGAGGCCCAGAGAAGGGGGGTGGCTTGCCAGACCTGTGATGCTACTCATGGACTATGTGAGCTCAGGGGGCCTCAGTTTCCACATCTGGAAAGTGGGTCATCATTGCACATCGGTTGTGGGGCCGTGGGAAGAACTGGATGTCGAGATGTTTGTAAACTAAGCAGCGTGAGGCATGCAGGAAAGAGCACTTCTGCAACATAAGGAGCTTCCTGCTCCCTCTTTCCCTCCCATCCTGGCTCGCAAAAGCCAGCAGAGACTTGTTTCCCTGGAAAATTTATGGAGGCTATTAGGCACACCTCCTGAGGCACAGAGTTTCTTGGCTGGCAGTCGAAGCCCCCAGCCCAGAACGCCCACCTGCAGAAGGGTCCCCTGCCTGGATCGGGGGGACTCAAAGGAAGCTGGTCGGTGACAGCTGGGACCCACATGCTGAGGAGAGGGGTCAGGAAGCAAAGGCTGCTGTGGGGTCACGGAACCTCGGTGTCAGCGGCCATGACCAGGGATGGTCCTGGAGGGAAGCTGCGGGCAGACTGCAAACCTCCCAAAAGCAGTAGCTGGGCTCTTCTGGCCCCTCAAGCACTACCCGGCCCGAAGCGGACACCTAGAGCAGTCTGCAAAATGGAAGAGCCACAAGGCTCCGGGAGGTGAGCACAGAAACGGTGGAAGGGCAGGGCTCTGATCCAAGGGTCATAAAACCCATCTCTGTGCTTCCAAGCCTGCAGCCACGCAGAGAAGGCGTGCAAAAAGGACAGGAGCCTTGGCCTTGTCCAAGCGGCTTTAAGATGACTGGCTTTCCTGGCCAGGGGAGAGGAAGAAGAGTTTAGCTGGAACTACGTACAAGCTGTGTGACCTTGGACAAGCCACCTGGTCCCTCTGATCCTCCATCTCCCCATCTGTAAGAGGGGGCATTGGCAACACTTTTCTTGTGGGGTCCTTGTTACAACTCAATGGAAAGAAAGAGCAGAACAGATAAAAGCTCTTCATATGCCTTGTTATGATTACTAATGGGAGGGCGCACCCCCAAGGAAAGGGGCATTGAGGTGGTGATTTCAAGCTGGAAGGCCCAGGAAGACCCCCTGACCTGCTCTCCCAGACATCTCAGGAAGACCAACAACAACCCATGGGCACGGCCTGCAAGCCGGGGCTGGGGAGCTCCCTGGCGGCCGAGCAGCCTGGCTGTGAGAAGGGCTTCCTGACCTGGAGCTGAAATCTGGCTCCCCATCCCTCCACCCTCATTATCACCGCCACACAGGGGCCACACACTCCCATAGGTCTGAGAGAGGCGGCCCTCAAGTGTCCCCTCCCCCAGATCAAACTTGGCCTGGTTTCCTGCTCTCTGTGCTGGCCAGGGCGCCTCCCTGAACCTGTCTTCCAGGTGGGGCCAGAGAGACCAGAGTCGGCAGGCCCCACCCACCCCTGCCCCCCATGGTTTACACCCCACAAAGCACTGCCACGCAAACCCTACCACCTAACCTGACAACCTCGCTGCGAAGGGCATATTACTATCCTCATTTTTTACAGACGAGGAAACCGAGGCCCCAAGACAGTAAGGGTCTTGCCCAAGGGCCTGCAGCTTCACCTATCTACGCAGGGCCGGCGGGTAAGAGCTTTCTCCTCTAGAACCTCAACGCACCCTTCTGTAACCTGGGTGGGAGCTTAATAACATATACTGTGTGCGTGATGGAGAGAGCAGGAACTGAGACAACTGTCTTAAAGCACTTACTAGCCTTCAAGAGCTCTGTAAGACTTCATAATGGCTGTGTGACCTCTAGAAGTTACTTAAACTCTCTGTGCCTCAATTTTCTCTTCTATAAAATGGGGTTACTAAGAGTACCTACTTGATAAGGTGTTTGTGAAGAGTAAATAAGATCATACGTGCAAAGTGTTGGCCAATATTAATACCATGTATTATTGCTACTATCGTTAGTATTACGGAGGGCTGGGGGCAAGCTAGGGGCAGGGGAGCTAGCTGAGTCCCCGGGGAAATGCCCCTGCAATATCTTCACCATCCGTCCTCCTTGGCCGTGACCCCATCCGTGCCCTTGCCCTCCATGGGTCTGGGCTCTGAGTGGAGGAGCTAGGGGAGGCCGTCAGGACGACTCCCCTCCACCGTAGGAAAACATCCAGCTGCTGGGATAGATCACCCCAGGACCATCCCTACCCCCAGCAGGGAGGCAGAGCCCTTCAGTATTTTCTTCTCCTGGGGGGCAGGGGGGCTGCAGCTGGAGCCTGACGGGAAACAGATGTGGCAAGGGAGGGAGGAGAGGGAAAGTAGAGGGTTCTCAGGGGATGGATGCCGCACAGGTCAGAGCTCGGTGGGGCGGAGGGGGGTGGAGCAGGAGAAATAAAGCAGCCCCTCTCCACCACGGGGTAGGGGGGGCTAGGGGGCGGGGACTCTAAGTCCTCCTCTCAGCTCTTCAAAGGCCCTATTGCTGGGGAGTAGGTTGGGGGCACCCCCTCCCCACCCAGCCTGTAATCTCCCTGAGGGAGAAAGGCCACGGGAGAAGCATGCAGAGTCCAGGAGAGGAGACTAGGGGGGCTAGGCAGTGAGAAACTGGGTCCTAGTCCCCCTTAACATCGCCAGGCCGAGGAGCCTTGCTCAAGCCCTATCATTTCTCTGGGCCTTAGTGTCCTGGCTGCACACAGTAGGGCTCAACAAGCAGGGCTGTCTGACTGGGAGAGGGGAAGAGCAGAGCCGCATATTCTCAGAAGATCCTTCTGGATTGGGTACCTACACAGAGACTGAGCTTCAGTGTCAGGGTGCACTGCCTCTCTGCCTGGGTTGCAGAGGGTGTGAGCATTATAAGGACCGAGCCTTGCAGACCCCCAGCACACATCCAAGTCCCAGTACATCTGAGCCCCCACAGGAAATGGGGCCTTACCAACTCCCCTCCCCAGCCCGCCACCATGACCTGGCCCCCCTGCTCCCCTCCCCCTCTGGCCCCAAACTTGATCCTTCTTCATGAATCCCAGCTTCTCTACTGACCTTGGGTAAGTCATTTACGCCCCTTGCCTCAGTTTCCCCCTCTGTACAATGGGAAACCAATAGAGCTGACCGCAGGGGATAGCTAGTATTAAGTACTGGTACGATTTTTCCATTCTTGCCCTCTCCCTTCACGGGCATGCACCTGTGGCCTTGCCTCCTGGGGTTTCCCTAGGTGCCAGTTGCTAACCGGCTCCTGTCTCTCCTGTTGGAAGGCCTGGCAGCCCTGGAACTTGGTCCTCCTTCAGCACCTGCTCAGATCTGGGTCCTGAGGAGCCCTTGACGAAGTGCGCCCAGTGAGAGAAGCCATGAATTCCACTGAACGGCACTGGCCACGCCCAAGGGCCCTTGGGAGAGCAGAGTGCAACCCAAAGGGGAGTGTGCTCTTAGTCTGACATGGTGGGCAAGGGGTTTTGGGACTGGGGTCTCAGACCTTCTCAGGAATTGGCAGGAAATCAGGAACCAGGACACCGTGTCTCCTTTAAACTGCCCACCCCTGGCCCCATAGCCTGGACATGCTCCTAAAACACCGGGCCTACCCACTGGGTCATCAGGCCTGTCCTGGCACTGCTGGGCCTCAGTCTCCCCCTCGACACCATAAGGATGTGGGCCGGGGCCCACCACTCAGGAGACCCCCGTCCACCGGATCGCCATGGCCAGCTTTGAGTCTATTTGTCCGTGTACCGCAGTGTGGCTGATGGGAACCACAGAAACCCTCGGGGGCGGGGGGGTGGAGAGGAGGGAGGGAGGGTCTGCAAACAGAGGCAGTGGAAGCCAGCATGAGGGGCATGAAATCACAAAATGTTTCCACCACGAGAATCTGCTCAGAAGGCTCCCCCATGCTCCTAATAGAATAAAGACCAAATTCCAGGCCACAGCCTCTGAGCCAGACCCATGCAGCTGGGACCCCACCTCCAACCTCTGCTTCATCTCTCAGCCCCCCAATGCTCTGTACCTGACCCTGGCCTCCCCACTTTGCACATGCTGTTCCCTCCCCCTCGGCCACTCCCTTGCAGCCCCCTCCACCCTCCACCAGAGCTCAGCCAACATCAGTGCCTCAGGGGAGCCTTCCCCAAGAGCCCCCAAACCCACCTCCCTTTCCATCCTGCCTCCACCGCCCCCCCCCCAACTGCTCCCACTATCCTTCTCGGTGACTCAGCCTCCACAAGGAGGACCGGCCCCAGCCCTGGCTCCTCAGTGCCCCCATGATGTCATCAACATGATCTCTCCTGCCGCCCCCTTGGCCGCACCCTGGACTTGGTCTGCAGAACCCTGCTCCCTGTGCCACCCCACCCAGTGCAGCTCCCCCCACCGCCCGCCCATCAGGAACGCACCATCACACTTTTGCAAATACGCCAACTCTTCAGCCTTCTTCCCTCGGAAGGTGAACCTCTGCCCTGTGCCGCTGTCCACGGACTCTGGGCCGCACCTGCCCCGTGACCCCCGCTGGGGCAAGTCACAGAGCCAGGCTGGCAGTGTTGGTGAGAGTTACGACCTCCATCTCTCCAGGAGGCCCACTTCCTCCTTCGTCCTTCCCCAAGGCCACCCACCCCTCCTCCCCCTCACGGCTAGTTGAAAACCTCCTGCCCCATTTCTCTGAGAAGACAGAAGCCTTGGAAGGGAAGCTCCTCTTCTCTGCACCAGCAAACCCACCAACCTCCCTAACCACCTGCCACGTCCCGCCCCCCTGAGCCCATGGTAAGGCATCGCCCTCCCCTGCCTGTATCATCAACCTTTTGCTTCCTTCTGGCTCCTTCTCATTTGCCTGTAACGCACTCCAGGACTTCCCAACTCCATCATACCCGCCTCAATGCCACCTGTCTTACTGCAGAGACTGCCCCATCGCCCCACTGCTCTCTACAGTCAAAGCCCCTCAAGGGAGAGGACAGTGAAGGCATTCTCTCTGCAGCCCAGCCCCACAAAACCCTCCCTCCCTGGTCATGGCTCCACGGCCACTGCCCCAGCCAGCGGGTCCCATGAACCCACATCCCCACTCCACCCTCACTCCTGACCTGCAGGGCATCAGCTTCGTGGCTCCCAGAGCCGAGCTGCAATTCAACAAGATCTCCATGTCAAAGTGGTGCCCCACGAAGTTTGAGGACCACCTCCTTAGTGCCAAATCCCAAGGGCACTTTTCCACAGCCATGATAGCTGACATCTCTGCACCAACCACACCTGTCCCCTCAGATGGCCCAGCCCCGACCCCAGGACGCTATGCTCCTCCGTGCTCCTCCTTGATGGACTTCTCCTCCATCTGATCCCCCAGTGCTGGGCTTCTGCAACACATGGTCTGGGGAATTCTGTCTCCACTTTGTCTCCATTCTGCAGGAAATCTCATCCACTCCCTAAATACCTTAAGGTCAATGATGCCCAAGTATGTAGGAGCCACCATGACTTCTCATATGAGCTTCAGCATAACAAATCCAACTTCTTGACATCTCAGCTTAGATTTCCAGGCACATCTCAAATGTAATGTGTATCAGAGAACTCTTGTTTTTATCTGGGACACTGGGTCTCACCCTGCCCTGCCTCCAGCCCAGGCCGCCCACCCCAGTAAGCCCACTCCATCCGCTCAGGTGTGACTGTGCTCACGGATTCCTGCCCGTCTCTCACCTTCCACATCCAACCCGGTGACACTTTGTGTCCAGCCCAGGTCCAGGGCCACCTATTTTCCCACCATGCATGAGACTTTAGCCATGACTTTCCCACTGGTCTCCTTACTTTTGAGCACCCAGCTGCACCAAGACTAATCTCTGCATACACTGGAAGAGCCATCTCCAAATAAAGCTGAAAGCTCTTTGCTTGTGGGTTTTGAGTGGCCCCCAAGGCTGGGAAGCACCCCATTCAGCTTCCCACCCCATTCCTCTTGTTTGGTTCTCCTGATCCTTCACTGAGGTTTAGGCCTTGAGCACCCAAGTCTTTAAGGCCACAGGGCATTTCCACCAACTGTACAGTCTTAAGATTGCTGTCCCCCACGTGTGACAGGTCTGGCTTCCTCCCATCCTTCAGATCCCAGAGTAAACAGACCTCCTCTTTGCAGCCTGCAGTGAGTGGGTCCTCCGTGGGATGAGCTGCCTTACCACGTCTGCCCCCCACCCTCCAGCATGCCCATGTGCACCTTGGCCACTACCCCCATGCACGGTGCCTGGAACACTGGAGCTGCCCTGTGTACATGAGGCAACTGGGTGAACAAATGAACAAGACGTGTGTTCTCTGCATTGCCCTGCTGCCCTACAACCCCACTCATCCTGCAGTACCACCTCCAGCTCATTAGTTTCAGAACTCGCCTAGGTCTGCGGTCTCAGGGTCTTGCTGAACCTCCTTCCCTTCCCGGGAAAACGGTGCTCTCTCACTCCCATTTCAGAGGAGACCAGCAAAGGGCCAACTTGGAGAGATCTGGTCTCATCCTTGTCACATGCAGGAGTAAACTGAGGCCCAATAAGGAATAAAATCGGCCCCGAGACCCTTCAGAGAGCCCCTCCAGCCACTGCTTCCCAGCCCCCAGCCCCGCCCGGCTCACCTGCTTGTGCGGATACACGTTGATGTGGCACTTAATGCACTCCTGCCCCATGTTGGCCCACGAGTTCCCGCTCATCCATTTTCTCTTGCACTTGGGACACTTGTACTCGCCGAAACAGCGCTTTTTGCCCTGGTACGGGGTCAGACCCTCACCTTTGGGACGTGCCTAGAGGACAGGAAGCAAACAAAGGGCACTGGGGTCCACCAGGCCAAAATGATGCCCCTACAGGGTCCCCACAGTCTTCCCCGTGCAGGTGGGGGGGAAGGCGCCTTTTGTCCCCGGCCAGAGAACACCAGGGCCACCCCCAGAGCACGCATGGGAATCCCAAGGCTGGGAGACCCGATACACATCTTTTCTAGATTTCAGGAAGCAAAGTACATGAGAGTGGCCAGGAACGACTTCTCTGACTTGCAGCATAAAAGGCATCTAGGGGTCCCATGCACCAGCACACAGTTGCTCTCGGCCCCCACCCCCCGGTGCTGTGGTTTGCATGGTCGTTGGCGAGGCAACACGGGCACAAGTATGCAATCTGGGGTGCAGTGAAGTGGTGTCTCCCCTCCCCCGGGGCCTGGCCACCAGCTCCCTTCCTGGAGGCCATTTTCATTTCCTTACCCCAGCCCGGAGGTGGGCTCTCCATTTATAAACACACGCAGCATACGCGGATGCACACACATCCCTGACCCTCACGACATTCGGTTCTCCGCCTTCCCTGTTTTACTTCATAATCTCTCTCGGGCATATTAGTATTACAAGATGCATAATGATACGTCTTTTCCCTGAATCAGGACACACAGACCTACTGACTTGTATTTAACAGCTGTACCAGCACAGAGTCTCCGCCAGGTCCCGTGTCTGCCAGGTGCCATTACGGAGCCTCTGGGTTGGTGCACTCTTGCACTATTATTACAGACGCTACAGTGAATAATTGTGTGGGCGTGTGTATCACATTCTGTGCATGGGAGAGGACATTTGTGGGATAATTCTCAAAAACAAAACTGCGGGGTATGGGCACTTTCAATTTTGAAAAGTAATGATGAGTTGGCTCCTACCTCACCACACTGCAGGGGCACCAACGTAATGACCCGTCTCCTTGCCAGAAGTTCCCACCATCGCCAATCTAAGAGGTAGAAAATCTCAGAGCGGCTTTGACGTGTATGTCTTTTATTATGAACAACGGAGAATTCCCCATGCATTTAAGAACCGTCATGTTTCCTTTGTTAAGTGTTGGTGTGTGTCCTTTGTGATCTTTTTTTTTTTTTGCTGCGGTTTGTTATTTTTCTTGTTGATTTGTAATTGCGCTTTATCTATTAAAGAGACTGGTTCTCTCCTGCATGGTGTTTTGCTTTAAACAGCTTTAGTGAGATAGGACTCATACCCCACATTTCACCTGTATAATGTATACAATTCAACAGGCCTCAGTGTATTCACAGAGTTTAACAACCATCACTATAAGCTAATTTTAGAACATTCTGTCATACTCCCCCGAAAGAAACCGTGTATCCATTAACAGTCACTCAACAGACTACCTCCACCTTCTCACCCTCCCCAGCCCCGGGCAGCCACCAGTCTATAGATTTCCCTGTTGTAGCTAGTCCATTAAGAGGAATCAGACAAAAATTGTCCTCTTGGGCCTGCCTTCTTTCTCTCCGAGTAATGCTTTTAACCTTCATCCAGGTAGTAGCACGTATCAGTACTTTATTCCCTTTTGTTGCCAAATGATACCCCATTGTATGGACACGCCATGTTTTATTTACTCATTCATCAGATGATAGGCATTTGGGTTGTTTCTAATTCTTGGCCACTATGAATAATACTGCTATGAACATTCGTGTAGTAGCTACAGGGTGTTTTATAAAGTTGGATTTGTTACCCCAGCATTTGAAAATGGAAGATGTCACATAGAACTATGACCACATCGGTCCGGAAATCTCTGTGGTGACCATCAGCTGGGGCCAAGGAAGGTCCTCTCCACTCCAACCAGCGGCTCCCCACACTGACGTCTTGTCCTCGGTGCTTGCAGGCTCTGGGTCTGAGACCAACTTAAACACGGGTTCTACGCTGGGACTCTTCAAAGTATGGGTCCTAGACTTCAGCAGCAGCATTCCCTGGGAGCTTGTTAGAAATGCAGACTCTCAGGCTCCACCTTAGATCTACTGAATCGGAATCTGCATCTTACCAAGAGCCCCAGGGAATCCATGTGCCATTATGCTTAAGAAGCTCTGGGCTACGAGGTGATCCGTTTCTACAGTAGTGTTTCTCTGGGTAACTGCCCATTAATGAAGGAGTGCATAAAGGTTAAGGGCACAGACTCTGGATCCAAATCCTAGCTTTGTGATCTTGGGCAAGTTACTTCACAAGGATAATGACAGGAACTACCATATAAAGCCGTTCTGAGGATTAACCGAGATAATACATGGGAAACACTTAGGACAGTCCCTGATACATAAAACAGCAGTGTTAGCTATTATTATGATTTACTAATACAGAACAATAGCAGCATATAAAGTGATAATTGCTTCCTTCAGGAATCATGTCTCTTATTTCCAGGAGCCAGTACCACCACTTGGTGACAGCCTACTAGAATTTCAGGCAAAACACTGAAAAGGGACATACGTGCTGAGTATATAAATCTAAATCTAGAAAGTGACAAGAATATTGCCCTGACATTTTGGACCTGCTGCCAAATGTCTTTTGGATCTTTATTGACCTTCCTGGCAGCCATGATATCCTGGGAAGGAGGTTCAGTCTGAGTTCTAAGGCAGGGCTGGCTCTCAGCCCTTGCAGGTCTATGAGAGCAGCTCGTCATGCCAAGGGGAGCACTCAGCGTGTAGTCAGCGTCCAGGCTCCAGTCAAATTGCAGTAGAGGGGTCAACTTATGCCTCTGAAGGCACTTTGAGCTCTGTTGGTCTCAAGTTAGCAGGTATGCAGTGAGCCCTCTAATCCCTCCCAGGGCCACCTTTCCTACATGGTGCCTGGAACGCACGGCATCTAAGCCACCCTAGCTTCTGTGGCCTCCCTTCCTGAGTAATCCTGAAAGAAGTACTGCATGAACTCTTCCCCTAGTGTCTCCATTCACCAAGGCACCTCCATTCAAAAGGGAATGACAGGTAGGCCTGGGGTGCCTCACCAGTGGTAGGATTTGAGACTCCTTGATTGAAAGAGGAAATTTGGGGGCCATCGCCAGCCAGGCCCACTCTGGGATCTGGCTCCACAGGCTGCTTGACTCTGAAACTGACACATCCTGCAACTGGGGCAAAAGGGGGGGGCAGGCATCAGAGGGAGGGGGCACTCAGCCAAGTGAAGGGTGAGGATCCGGAGGGGGCCGACAATTCGGTTCCCAAAGAGTCTCTGCTTCAGAAATGAGCAGGAAGGGAACCCACACAAGAAAGATGATACAGAGTGTGCACCAAAGACCAAAGCAGGCGGATGAGAGGCAGGAGCGAGATGGGGGTGGGGGGAAGACCCATAACACCAAGTAATTAGAAAACCAGCCTTCTGGAGCCATCCATCACGAGTGTGAACTGCTGGGCAGGGCCCAGGGACGGGGGCTCCGGCCTCCTACAGGACCAGAGGTCCTCGGCACACCATTCCCACCCTGGGAAGGCCCCCTCTGACACCCCACTATATGAGACGTGGCCCACACCACGGATGTCATGGCCAGATGCTGGTGATGGCATTCCACCTCTGCCTGGGACGATCTGGGGGACCCTCCATCAGTGTCTCCACCTCTCTGTGCCTTGGTTTCCTCCTCTGGAACCCCAGGAGGATGGTAAGGGCCCACCCCCCAGCGCTGCTGGAAGGATGGGATGCATTCATGCCTATGAAGATGTTAGCTGGGTGGCTGGGCATTGCAGGGGCTCACTGACCATCAGCAACTTCAGGATGATTTTCTGCTGGAGCTGGTAGCGGCTGCATTCTGGGTGAGGCAGACACTGGGGCTGAGACCAGGGGGTGGAAATCACAGGAGGAAAGCTCCGAAGATGGGAGGGGGCCTGGGTAGAGGCTGGGCTCACTAACCCCAGTGGTGGGGGAGGTGGCAGCCAAAAAAGAGACTGCGTTAGGTGTCTTCACCTTCTAGAATTTTCAGAGAGGAACCAAGAAAGATAGAGGAAGGCTTAAGAAGCTCTGCAGGTGCTGCTGGTAGAGAACGGAGGAAAGAGCAAAGAGGGCAGACGCTTCTGAGGCACTACCATGGCCTGTCAGGCTCCCATTCAACTCTTCCCATAACCCTGTGGGGCAAGGAATATCATAAACCCATTTAACAGATGGTGAAACGGAGGTGGCACGGGGAAGGGGCAGGACATGCCAAAGAGCTTCCAGCGTGTGAGGAGCAGGACTAGGCCCGACAAGGCTGCACTTGGCTTCCCTTTGCTGTCTGTCACTCCATAAGTGTGTCCCCAACCATGAAGCTGAGGCCTGTGTTCCGGAGGAGAAACCCCCCAGTCCCTCTGCTCAGCCCAGCCTGGTGGTTTTGCCCTCCTGCGGGCAGAGGGGAGAGGTGACCTGCAGGGCAGGGGTGAAGAGGCAGTGGATGCAGGGAGGGGAGGACAGGCCAGCGGGCAGCCCTCTCCGCTCAGCAGTGAGGAGCCACTTCCTGGAAGGACTTATTCCAATACTGTTTATGATTACAGAGGAGGGCAGGGCCAAAGAGAGGAGGAATTTTTGATGGAACAAAGGCTTCTCTACCCCCCCCCCTTTCCCCCGGCCTCCTCCCAGAAAGGCCAGCCTCTTCTCATAAACTTCAACATGAAACAGACGCTGACTGCCCACGGCTCTGCAGGGGCCGCCACTGGCCCTGGCTGTGGGAAGGATGCCAGGTCTGGCTTGCTCTCTTGACCTGGGCCCCTGCCACGTACCCCTCCGGGGAATCACATCAGCCAGCAACCCAGGCAAAACTCATTGGCGCTCGGACACCACCCCCCATAGCACAGACAGGGCCTCTGGGGGTCCGAGACGCAAGGCAACTTGCTCAAGGACACACAGCAGACCAGGGACTGAGCTGGGAGGTGGGGCTGCATCCTCCGACCTCCATACCATGGCTAGAATCCCTGCACAGGGCAGCCTGGGAAGTGGCAGTGGTGGCTGCTGTGGTGGTGGGAAGGGGGGGCTGGGCCAAGGAGCAGCGAGAGCAAAGTGGGGTGGGTTGTGGGAGGAGCCATTCAGGC